TCTTTTAGGAATTATAACAAATGACATCCCAAAAGACATGAAAAGAATCTTTTTATACGCAACAGCTGCCGCAAGGTTACTGACTGCAAAAAATTGGAAATCAGAAGAAGTACCAACATTTAAAGATTGGCAATGTAAATTTTTTGAAATGATTGAATTAGCAAAAATGACGGCAACAATTAGAATGCAATTTAATCAAAATCTCAAACAGGAATGGAAATGTGTAGAAGAATATATGTCCAAAAGATGCTCCAACAAGAATTTATTGATATGTATATACTGATTTCACAAAGTTAAGTTAAGACACAGGGCAAGAAATAATGGATAAATGTTGGTACATCATGAAATGTGAAAATGTGAATTTACGAATATAATGTATATGTATCAATATGTAAAGATTTCATATATGTATTGCAACACTAATAATAAATAAATTAAGTGCAAAAAAGAAAGAAAGAAGAAAGAAAGAAGAAAGAAAGAAAGAAAGAAAGAAAGAAAGAAAGAAAGAAAGAAATTGTAAACGACAGTGCGTATTTGTTCAACAATTTTCTTTCTTTTTTAAAAAAGTTGCCTTTATTCTTTTTTTTTTTTTAAAGTATAGATTATTTTCTAAATATTAAGTGGTAATATAACTCCTCTCTACAAAAAGCGTTTCTGAGGTATTTCCTCAGACTGGTGTGACTTTTTGTGTGTCTGTGGGACTGAACTGAGATGGAGACTCTCTGGCCCACAAGCAAGGCAGGACACACACATTTTGCCCTTACTTTCTTTTGACCCCAAGTGCTCAGGAAAATCTGTCAAAATCCTCAGTCATTTGAAAACTAGGAAGTTATTTTTTTTAATTAAAAAACAACAACAGCCAAAACATCAGGGACTACCTTTCATGCGGTTAACGAGAATATTTTGCAAAATTACAAAGAACATGCCTTTTTTCATCTAATTAAAAAAAACAACAATGCCTAAACTAAAACAAGTTTTCTTGGATTTGCCAGAAACCTTTCCAGCACTTCCTTCTCAAATTCTACCAATGCACTTTTTCTGTGCACGCTCAGTAAGCCTAGCCTAGGTAACCTGACTAGGTTGGAGACAGAACACCAGCAATTGCCAGGAAACGACACTATATTTAAATAAAACACTTGTTCACAACAAGCGTTAGCTACGAACTCTGCACCGATCCAAATTGTGAAATTGAATAAACTGAACTAGATCATCGGCTGAGGACTGTGAGGGCTTTCTGCCGTATAAGTAGCCTTTGGCAAACTTCCCGTCGATTCTAGACGGGCCCTGCAGGTGTGCGCTCTCAGGAGAAAATGCTGGAAACTATTAGAAGCTTCCAGAACTGTGACGCGATTCGTCAGTTTGTGGAAGGCACGCCTATTGATCAATTGGGTTACCAGTTGCATTGCTAGAATGCCCCACAACATCTTCCATGTGACCACAGCGAGCATTTCAGTTTCGCACATTCTAATTATTTCTATTTTAAGTTGGGTGTTTTTTATTTATTTACTTGATGGGGGGCAGCTACCCCCTCTTCCCCCCCCCCGGCTACGCCCATGTTCTGGTGGCAGCTGAGGCAGGGGGGCCGCAATAGAGAGGTGGCCAATTCTATCTTCCCACTCCGTAACAGACAAGTCAGAATTTCATGCACACTGAGCATGCTCAGATCTCATAGAATCATAGAATCATAGAATCATAGAGTTGGAAGAGACCACAAGGGCCATCGAGTCCAACCCCCTGCCAAGCAGGAAACACCATCAGAGCACTCCTGACATATGGTTGTCAAGCCTCTGCTTAAAGACCTCCAAAGAAGGAGACTCCACCACACTCCTTGGCAGCAAATTCCACTGTCGAACAGCTCTTACTGTCAGGAAGTTCTTCCTAATGTTTAGGTGGAATCTTCTTTCTTGTAGTTTGGATCCATTGCTCCGTGTCCGCTTCTCTGGAGCAGCAGAAAACAGCCTTTCTCCCTCCTCTATGTGACATCCTTTTATATATTTGAACATGGCTATCATATCACCCCTTAACCTCCTCTTCTCCAGGCTAAACATGCCCAGCTCCCTTAGCCGTTCCTCATAAGGCATCATTTCCAGGCCTTTGACCATTTTGGTTGCCCTCCTCTGGACACGTTCCAGTTTGTCAGTGTCCTTCTTGAACTGTGGTGCCCAGAACTGGACACAGTACTCCAGGTGAGGTCTGACCAGAGCAGAATACAGTGGCACTATTATCTCTCTGGACTGCTTTAATTTTTTTAAAAGCTTTTCCTTCTGTACATTTCAAGGTTCCCCTGAGCATGTCGATGCCTCCTCCACGTTCATGGATGTTGCCATTTGGGCCACGGTGGTGTAGTGGTTAGAGCAGCCTTTCTCAACCTTGTGTCCCCAAACGTTGTTGGACTTCAACTCCCATCATTCCTAGCTAATGAGACCGCTGATCTGCGTTAGAGTGTTTCTAGGGCTAAGGACTGGGGCAGGGGTCAGCAAACTTTTTTAGCAGGGGGCCGGTCCACTGTCCCTCAGACCTTGTGGGGGGCTGGACCAAATTTTGAAAAATATATATGAACGAATTCCTATGCCCCACAAATAACCCAGAGATGCATTTGAAATAAAAGGACACATTCTACTCATGTAAAAACAAGCTGATTCCTAGACCGTCTGCGGGCCGGATTTAGAAGGCGATTGGGCCGGATCTGGCCCCCGGGCCTTAGTTTGCCTACCCATGGTCTGGAGCGACCAAGGTTCGAATCCAACCCCCCTATCTCAGCCATGCAATTTCAGTGAGTGAACTTGGGCCAGCCGCACTCTTTAACATCCTCGCCTTGCAGGGTTTTTGTTTTCCCACGGATGGGCGCAGACACACGATATACGCAGCCTCAAGCTCTTTGGAGGAAAGGCCCAGATACAAATATAATAAATAAATGAGGAAAGGAGTGCTTGTTGCCACAAACAAAGTTGCCAACAAACATGATAATAGATGTTGAAACATCTGTTACCAGTAATAACTAAACGGAACTTACATGTATTATTATTGATCATAGTTGGGGGAGTGGTGCAGGAAAAACAACTTACTCCTTAACTTAAAGAAAACAAAAGAGATTATTGCGGACATTAGGAAATGTAAATTGAATATTCAGCCATTTATTATTGAGGAGAAGTGCGTGGAATAGGTCTTGGTGTTTTGATTTCTGGGAATGGAGTTGAGAGATGACCTAACCTGGGGAGAGAACAGCAAAGACCTGGTGAAGAGAGCACAGCAGAGGTTATATTTTCAGAGAATCCTCCAGAAAAACCATCTCTCAAAGGACCTGTTGATGGCATTTTACCATTGCACTGTGGAGAGTGTGTTAACTCATGGTCTGTGTGTGTGGTTTGGGAGCTGCACGGCCAGGGAAAAAACAATGCTGTCCAGGGTTGTAAAGACTGCGGAGAGAATAATTGGGTGCACTCTTCCCACCTTGGATCAAATCTATGCTTTCAGGTATCATAAGAAAGCTGCAGAGATAGCGCAGGATAGAACGCACCCCGGAAATGATCTCTTTCAGCTTCTGCCTTACAGCATTATAAAGACTAGGACTAGTCGCCTGAGAAACAGTTTCTATCCAAATGCAATTTTGATTTTAAACGCTGTGTAAGGAGTCTCTATGGGAGTATGTTGTATTTAAAAATGGGGTATCAGAGTTTTTAGGGGGCTAAACAGGCTGGGATAGCAGGCTTGTTGGTTTTTTAATGTCTTATGTAGAATTTTTTCAATTTTGTTGTTCTGTATGGGACAATGACAATAAAGAGTATTGTATTGTATTGTATTGTATTGTATTCGTATCGTATCGTATCGTATCATAATATACAGAAGAAGCCGGTGTGTTATAGAGGTTAAGAGCCCTGCACAAGGGCCTGGGAGACCTGGGTTCAAATCCCCAACCAGCCCTGACCAGTCTCTCAGAAGCCTAACCTTACTTCGCTGTTGTGAAGATCAAATGGGGAAGGGGAGAACCATACATGCTGCACTGAGCTCCTTGGTAGAGAAGTGGCTTGTGAATGCAATAACTCGGGATGTGGGTGGCGCTGTGGTCTAAACCAGGGGTCTGCAACCTTTAAGACAAAAAGAGCCACTTGGACCCGTTTCCGAAGAAAAAAAAACTGGGAGCCGCAAAACTCGTCATTATAAAAATAACTTTTTTGTCACTTTTTTATTATTTCTTTGTTTGACCCCTCAGAATTACTCCTCCTCATAGAAATAAACGTTAAATTTACAAGTTACCTTTTTGTGTGTGTGTGTGCTTCACTCCCCTTCAAAACAGTGACCAGCGTACATGCCCCCTTTCAATGCAGTGACCAGCGTACATGCCCCTTACAATGTAGCGGGCGGGCGGGCGTGAAGGTGACGTCGGGACGGTGTGTGACTAACGCACGCACGGCCCCATGCGATGTCACAGCCAGTACAGCGCCCGCCACAGTGGGGAGTGTCGGGGCGCACAATGCGCCTCCTCCCCTCGCTAGTATCCGCCCTGGAGCCGTGGCAAACGTGTAAAAGAGCCGCAGGTTGCTGACCCCTGGTCTAAACCACTCAGACTCTTGGGCTTGCCGATCGGAAGGTTGGCGGTTCGAATCCCTGCAATGGGGTGAGCTCCCGTTGCTCTGTCTCAGTTCCTGCCAACCTAGCAGTTCAAAAGCACGTCAAAGTGCAAGTAGATAAATAGGTACCGCTCCGGAGGGAAGGTAAACAGCATTTCTGTGTTTCCATCAGTTGCGCCAGAAGCAGTTTAGTCCTGCTGGCCACATGACCCGGAAAGCTGTCTGTGGACAAACGCCGGCTCCCTCGGCCAATAAAGCGAGATGAGTGCCACAATCCCATAGTCACCTTTGACTGGACTTAACTGTCCAGGGGTCCTTTGCCTTCTTCTTTTTTTACCTAAATGCAATAATTAAATATTTACACACACACACACACACACACACATCATTATTGGAGTAACTAGACATGAGAAGGGGTTAATGTGTGAGTGCAAATCGCTCCACGTATGAGCTCATCGCACGTGCAAGGTCAACCAGTTGCTATGGCAATGGCCCAGCGCCTTGCCTATATCTGTGATGAATATAGCTCAGCTTAGTTTGTGCGCCGTCATCCTTATGTAGAGTGCGCTGGTCTTGAATTGCTGGAGTTCATTTGGAACAACCGGGATCCGTTGCCAACCCGACAAGCTGTAGCTTTATCTACGCACTGTTTTGCTGAGCCTTCTCTTCTGCAACAACAGAAAACCATTTGGACCTTTGCTGAGTGGGACGGGGAGCAACTTTCCCCCTGCGTGGAAATGCATGTCTCCTATCAGATCCCACCGATCACCCCCAAGGTCAGAGCAGTGCGTGCGACGATGACCTAAGACTCGCCCGCGCGCTCTCCGAGATCAGGGTCTCTTTGCGCGACTCTCTTTCCTCCGTCCGGCGACGCCTGGAGCACCTCGGAGAGGGGCAAGAGAGGCGGGTCCCAGCCTCCGATCCGATCCCTTCGCGCTCCTCCAAGGTCCGCACTCTCCTCCAGTTTGCGCGAGTGCGCAGGGGAGGGCGCGCAAGGCTATCTTTGCCTGGGATCGTCTCCACCGGCTTGGAGGCTGCAGCAGCGAAGAAGACGCGTCTTCACTTTGGGTGAGTAGGGTTTACCTTTAGAATTATACATGTTGCATTAAAAAAAAACCCTTTATTTTTATTTCTTCCTAATCTGAGTGTATCCGTCAAATTATAAAAAAACCCATAAACATAAAAATCTCTCGCGCGCCCCCAAATAGCGAGCAAGCTTGCGAGTTACTCAGAGCTCTTCTTCCAGCTGTTAAACAAAGCGGGGAGTGGCGAGTTGGTCTAATGGGGAGGGGGGCAAAATGGCGTCTGCAGGATTTCCTTTAAAGATGCGATGTGGGAGGGGATTTTGGTCTTTGATAGATCAGGCTGTGCCCGGGGAAAGCGCCACCGCTTGGACAAGGAAACACACCGCGGTTCTTCCCGCCTGCGATTGCGCGCAGGTCCGAGAAAGAGAGTGGGACGGAGTTTGCATTCTCAGAAACCTTAGTCCGAGAAATAGACACACGGCAGAGTTTAGATTAGCAAAGATGGAAATAAATTTTAGGTCTAAAAAGAGAGAGAAAGGGGGAAAATTGGATTGTATATGTTGAAAATGTTGAAACTTAATAAAAATATAATTGAGAGAGAGAGAGAGGCTCCATGTTAGCCAGTTGTTAGTATTACCTAGTAGAGAGAATGAAGTCTTTCCTAGAAAAAGGAAGAAAAGAGTTCTTGAGAAGCTGAAAGCTTGCTCACTATTTTTGTGATGTTGCACCTTGTCCTAATAAAAATAAAGTAGTTCCTGGCTGAGGGTTTTCAATTCCTTTTCAATGGACCAGTTCTTTGGCTTTTGTGCATCTTGCAGAATGGCAGAATCAGCTGTCCAGAAGTGGGTTTCTATCCCCAAGGGGCTTTCTACCACCTGGGCACGGGCCTCCTCAGTAATTTGGGTGGCAAATTGCTGTTTACAGTGACTGTAAAGTGTGACATCGCTTTTGGTGTGGGATGTAAGGAATCGATCTGGTAATCTTCCATCTTTCAGCCACAGAGAGATGGCCACTTCATGAGTTATCCTGTCCCAACTGGTAAACCTGTCTTACCTGGGAGCTCAAGGGTAGAACAGATAGTTTTTTGGCAGAAGGTACCAGGTGTAATCTTAGGTTTGCTCCAACAGGAAGGCAAGGACCTTGTAGCCATTCCCAGCTTGAACAGGAGGGGCCAAGGGTTTGACTCAGAGTAAGGAAGCTTCCTAGTGCATCTGTGTTGGAGCAACTGGACCTGAGAAGGGGTTCATTTCCTTCCTGAGCATAAATCACCCCATGGATGAGCTAATCAAATGTGCAAGGTCAGCCAAGCCAGTTGCTATGATAACAGCCCAGTGCACCAGGTATATCTGCGATTAATGTATTTCAGCTCAGTTAGTGTTTGTCAGCGCGAGTTGGAGTCTGTTGCTTGTCCAGTGCTGTCTTTAATTGCAGGAGTTTATTTGGAGCTACAGAGGTACGTTGTACTTGTATGTATCTGTATATCCGCAAAAGCTTACAAGCTGTATGTCCTGGAACTGTTACACTGAGCCTTATCTTCTGCAGCTATTTGGACTTTAAACTGCTTCCATGTGGTGACTGGGACTTGGAGCAACTTCCACTGTCCGAGCAATCAGTGCTGAAGCCATTGAGAATTTCGCCCCTACCTTTCTTCCCACAATGTGAAGTTAGCAAATTGCTTGTCCGTTTTGGGGGTGCGATGTCACATTGAACGTTTATGCTTCTGAAAATGTCCCCTCTCTCTTTGCTTCACCCTCCTTAGCCCCACAGAGTGAAAAAATGATATCCAAGTCTCAAATGAGATTGCCCCCACCTTCCAGGACAAGGCAAGATGTTGCACAACAGCCAAACCAGGTAGGATATCCTCCATTAGTTGATGGGTGGGTGGGAGGAGATGGGAAGGGAAAAGCATGACATATTGCAAGGAGAGTGAACCAGGCAGGGAACAACCCAATGCACGGCTTGTTTCCTTCCTTTCCTCCATCCCTCTCTCCTTGTGAATGTAAAAAGGCCTCTTCTGGATTGGATGAAAAGATCCATCTAGTCTAGTAAGTGGGACAATTTACGGCAGAAATAACTTCTGGAAGAACATTCCTATTAGATCCACAGACTAGTTTACCTGGGACAACGGATGGAGATTTGCGTTTCTCATTCACAGAGCAAGAAGTATGGGAATGTTTACAACCCACACTTTACAATCCCCATTAATAAAAATCTTTCTTCTGTGTGTGGATCTCCCTTTCTGGTGTGGGGCATCTGGGGCAAGTCTACGCAGGAAGCAGATCACGTGGGGGGGGGGACTGAGCTTGCACAGGGACAGCCACGTTTTGAATGCCCTCCCCCTGGTAGAAAATGTCCTGCACATCATAGTGCATGGAAATCTCACAGACTAGAACACGTCGGATGACTAGGCTAGTTTTCTCTGCATCTTCTTTGGCAATCACTCGTAGCCGAGTAAGATGGTCTTCCATAAACACGGTTTTAACAATGAGTCTGTAAGTGATTGTGGAGGCCACTTCTGGATCCACACGTCCTTCCACAGTGGGGACTTTGGTTTCCCGGTGGGAGTTGTTCATGGTGAGGGTTTATCAAGCGTGCCTTCCTCTTAACACTTTTCTCTCTTGCGTCCTGAGTTTGCGTGTCTTCAAAGCCCATGACACCTTTGGTAAAGGCTGTTCTCCAACTGGAGCACTCGCAGGCAAGTGTTTCCCAATTGTCGGTGTTTATACTACATTTTTTTAGATTTGCCTTGAGACAGTCTTTAAACCTCTTTTGTTGACCACCAGCATTACACTGTTTCCATTTTTAAGTTTGGAATAGAGTAGTTGCTTTGGAAGATGATCATCAGGCATCCGCACAACATGACCAGTCCAACCAAGTTGATGTTGAAGAATCATTGCTTCAACACTGGTGATCTTTGCTTCTTCCAGTACACTGGCATTAGTTTGCCAGTCTTCCCAAGTGATGTGTTACTGATTTTGTTTTGTTTTTTGTATGGAGGAGCATTCTGATCACCCACTGCGATCTGGATTGGCACATTCCAGAAACCTGGTGTTTTGCATTTGGGGTTTTGGGCAGAAAAAAATATTGGCCTGTGTTGTTAGGGCTTTGGAGAGCAATGCACAAGTAGATGTGGCTTCAAGTGGTTTCTGTAAGTTGAGCTGAGTAAGATGCCCTCTGGGGTGGCTACTTTCTGTTCTGTGTCTGTGGCTCAGACTTTTGAAAGGGATTCTAGAGTTGCAGAGTTCTATCCTTTTGAAATGGAGGTGGCACTGTGGTCTAAACCACTGAGCCTAGGGGGGGCACTAGGGGGCGCATTGGAAGATGGCTGGCAATAACATCTCTCCGACCCACACGAGGTAATTTGGAGGCTATGATGGGGGTAATTAGCCTCCTTAACCTCCCCAGGATTGTGGGGGGACGGCCCTTGCCTCCTGTGCCCTATACCACCCCCGAATTTGTGGGGGTGGGGGCACTAGGCACAAAGCCCTCCTGTGGGATTTCGGCACTCCTGGACGCCGTCCCTGATTCGCGCCACTAGATGCAAGAACTTCAAAAGAAACAATTTGGATGAAAGGAATGCACATATTTCAAGAAAGAAGGGGGAGTAAAGACTGCTAACAGAAGAGATCTCTGACAAAACAAGATAAGAATAAAACATGAGAAGATACGCCAAGACAAGGTACGGCAAATGACTGAGGGGGAAGGGGAAAAAACTCTCCCTTCTTTTCTTATGTGATTAAACAAGAATCCCCTCCCCTCACGAGTCAGAAATGTCGTTTTAAGGACTTAAGCTGTGGATTTAAGGCTGTGTGGAGATAAACTTTCGAACCAAAGCACGTTTTAAGAAGAGCATGGAATGTGTAAGAGCACTGGAATGACACAGTTAAAAATGCCGTCGCCATATTGGGAAGTTTGTCGGAGGTCTTGAGTCTGGGAGGAGAAAGAGAGAAATAGAGCTGTTTATATATTGTGGGTTAAACTCCTCAGTGGGACTTAAGAGCGACAGTTTTACGAGACTATGATGGAAAGAGTGATGTTATCTATGAAGGAGATGATATATGGAAACCATCTCAATTTGAGGATTGGAAGAACGGAAAATTCACACAGGACTATTATTACTACTGGTGTTTATCGGCTTAAGGAGACTATCAGAAGAGATCATAAAGAAAAAAGAGAAAATATATGAACAAGATGTGATGTGGAAACAGCAAGATAAGATGGGATAGAATTATGAACTCTGTTTGGACTGATTTGGACTGATTGGGACATTAACGCAGCAGCAAGAAGATGATCAGAATTCCCCTTCGGATCTTGAAATATGGGTCCCCCCAACAAAATTTAAAATTCGGCTTTGTAATTCGGAATTTATGTGATATGATTTAATTTGATGTGATTGGCCAGTTAATAAAAATTATTTTTTAAAAAACAAAAAACCACTGAGCCTAGGGCTTGCCGATCGGAAGGTCGGCTGTTCGAATCCCCGCGACGGGGTGAGCTCCCGTTGCTCGGTCCCTGCTCCTGCCAACCTAGCAGTTCCAAAGCACGTCAAAGTGCAAGTAGATAAATAGGTACTGCTCCGGCAGGAAGGTAAACGGCATTTCCGTGCGCTGCTCTGGTTTTGCCAGAAGCGGCTTAGTCATGCTGGCACATGACCCAGAAAAACTGTCTGCAAACAAATATCGGCTCCCTCGGCCAGTAAAGCGAGATGAGCACCGCAACCCCAGAGTGGTTTGCGACTGCACTTAACTGTCAGAGGTCCTTTACCTTTACCTTATCCTTTTGAATGCATGTGTGGGAAATGAGATGAGGGTCTCTCTGTCCTCGCAGGGGCCGGTGGTGACCTTTGAAGATGTGGCTGTCTATTTCACGGAGAGCCAGGGGGCTCTGCTGGATCCCGACCAAAGGGCCTTGTACAGGAATGTCATGTTGGAGAATTATGGGAACGTGGCCTCGTTGGGTAAGGAGCTTCTGTCTTCATTACGAAACAGCTGGATGTCTTCATGTTCACAGGGCAAATAATGACTTTATGTATTTACTAATGTCCTAATTGCTTAAGGATTTTTAAGGTTAGATTGCATTATATACTTACCTTCTTGCAATGTCACGGAAGGCTATTCTGAGGGAAGACCAAGACATTACATTGTTCATGCATCTGCCCCATTCTTTAGCATTTTTAAAATCATTTAAGGCCGTACGCATGGGGTCAGGGATTTACAGGGCTTACTGACCACTGTACATTGAAATGGGTTACAAATCCCAAGTAACACCAGTGCAAAATGGCAGAGATGGGCAAGGGATTTTGGAGGAGTTCGGTTTTAAGGCAAACCGCATAATGCAGGGATCAGCAAACTTTTTCAGCAGGGGGCCGGTCCACTATCCCTCAGACCTTGTGGGGGGCTGGACTATATTTTTTTTGGGGGGGGGGAATGAATTAATTCCTATGCCCCACAAATAACCCAGAGATGCATTTTAAATAAAAGCACACATTCTACTCATGTAAAAACATGCTGATTCCCAGACCGTCCGCAGACCGGATTTGGAAGGCAATTGGGCCAGATCCGGCCCCTGGGCCTTAGTTTGCCTACCCATGATATAGTGGGTAAACAAATACAGTAGCCAACGTGCTGCCTAGGAAAAAGTCTTCTGACCTGTAAGTTACTGTAACAATACACAGTTCAACCCGGAAAGGAATATTTCATGGATATTTTTTAAAAAATAATTTGCTGTTATTTTTATATATTCAGGAAATTCAGCTATGTATTTGATGGTGAGTTGTGTTGTGAAAGGTAGTTTTGGGGCTTGTTTTCCGGAGCCACTTTGCGGGGGTCATAGGATGAGTCTGTGGGGGTTGACCACATCCTTAGACATTCTCTGCTTTTCTTTCCTGGGAAGGATCTCCATTCGCCAAACCTGAACTTATTTGCCAGCTGGAAAAAGGGGGAGAGCTCTGGGTGCCAGATTCTCAGGACTTGGATGAAACAGAGAGTTCCAGCTCCAACTCAGGTGAGGGGTTTTGGGAAACCAGGAGACCAAGACTCTTTCCAGATTTCTGGGAAATCTGGCCATTATCCTTTTAAAATGTTAGGATTTCCTCCTAATTTAATTATTGTACAGCATCTAGCCCTTAAGCTGCATTATATTTATATTTTGAGAGGAGTTAGTGTTTGATATAGGGACGCGGGTGGCGCTGTGGGTTAAACCACAGAGCCTAGGGCTTACCGATCAGAAGGTCGGCGGTTCGAATCCCCACGACAGGGTGAGCTCCCGTTGCTCAATCTCTGCTCCTGCCCACCTAGCAGTTCGAAAGCACGTAAAAGTGCAAGTAGATAAATAGGTACCACTCCAGCGGGAAGGTAAACGGCGTTTCTGTGCGCTGCTCTGGTTCGCCAGAAGCGGCTTAGTCATGCTGGCCACATGACTTGGAAGCTGTACGCCGGCTCCCTAGGCCAATAAAGCAAGATGAGCGCCGCAATCCCCAAAGTCGTCCGCGAGTGGACCTAACAGGGGTCATTTTACCTTTTTTAGTGTTTGATATACAGTTGAACCTCGGAAGTTGAACACCTTTGAACTCGAAGCTGCGCTTTGGTTTTTGAACTGTTCTGGGAGTTGAACGGACTCCCAGAATGGACTAAATTGGAAAACCAAGGTACAGTCATACCTCAGGTTGAATGCGCTTCGAGTTGAGCACGTTCGAGTTGCGCTATGCGACAACCCAGAAGTAACGGAGCGCGTTACTTCCGGGTTTCGCCACTTGCGCATGCGCAGACGCTCAAAATGATGTCATTTGCGGAAGCAGGGAAAAGCGACGCGTGCATGCGCAGACATGCCGTCGCTAGTTATGTTTGCTTCTAGATACGAACGGGGCTCCTGAACGGATCCCGTTCGTATCCAGAGGTACCACTGTACGACTGTACTGGCATTGTGGGAGAAGGAAGAGGTGGGTGTTGATGGGCCTCTTCTTGACTTTATGTTAGTAGCTGAATTTCCACCTTCTAACTCTTAACATGTTTCGATCTTTTTTATCCTCCAAAATAAATATTTTTCTTACTATTTCCCCCGTATCTCAGCAGGTCTGTGCAATCAAAAGAATTTATATTTCACGTGGGGGTTGCAGTTAACGCAGATACCAGCCCTTGCCAATCGCCAGCAAATGATGGAAGGAGAGAAACTGAACAAATGCATGGACTGTGGGAAATGCTTCGCTCGGAAATCAAAGCTCGTGGAGCACCAGAGAGTCCACACAGGAGAAAAACCGTACGAATGCTCCGAGTGTGGGAAACGTTTCGCTTGGAAATGGCCGCTTGTGATACACCAGAGAGTCCACACGGGAGAGAAACCTCACCAATGCTTGGAGTGTGGGATGCGCTTTGCTGAAAAGCCAAAACTCAACAGGCACCAGAGTGTCCACACTGGAGAGAAGCCGTATAAGTGCTCCGAATGTGGCAAAACGTTTGCTCAGAAATCGTACCTCATGATGCACCAGCGAATCCACACGGGAGAGAAGCCATTTCAGTGCTTGGATTGCGGCAAAGGTTTTGCCCACAAATCGAAGCTTGTGAGTCACCGGAGGGTTCACACCGGCGAGAAATCGCACAAGTGCTTGGAATGCGGCAGATGTTTCGCTCACAAATCGTACCTCGTGATGCACCGCCGAACCCACACGGGAGAGAAACCGTTCGAATGCGTGGACTGCGAGAAGTCCTTTGCCCAGAAATCACACCTCACAATCCACCGCCGAACCCACACGGGAGAGAAACCTTTCAAATGCCTGGCGTGTGGGAAATGCTTTGCCGATTCCTCTGCCTTTACGGGACACCAGAGGGTCCACACCGGCGAGAAGACCTACAAATGTGCGCAGTGTGGGAAGTGTTTTGCTTGGAAATCAAACCTCACTCTGCACCAGAGAAGCCACGCGACCGAGGAAGCGTGCAAATGCTCCGAGTGCGGGAAATGTTTTGCTCGGAAATCGCACCTCCGCAGCCACGAGAGAGTCCACAGAGGGGAGAAACTGTATAAATGTTTGGAGTGTGGGAAATGCTTCTCCTGGAAGTTGCATCTCGCGAACCACCAGAGAGTCCACGGGGGAAAGAAACCACATAAGTGTTTGGAGTGTGGGAAGTGCTTTGGTCAGAAATCGCACCTCACAATCCACAAAAGCATTCACACGGGAGAGAAGCCCTTTAAATGTTTGGAGTGTGGGAAATGTTTTAATCTCAAGTCCCGTCTTGTGGAACATCAAAGAATCCACACGGGAGAGAAACCCTACACATGCAAAGAGTGCGGGAAGGCTTTTGCTAACAAATCAAATCTCCAGACACACCTGAGAGTCCATACAGGGGAAAAGCCATTCAAATGCCTGGAGTGTGGGAAGTGTTTCACTGTGAAATCTAGTCTCGTGAAGCACCACAAGGCCCACACAGGAGAGAAACCTTATAAATGCGTGGAGTGTGGGAAATGTTTTGCTTGCAAATCACAATACGTAATGCACCAGAGGATCCACACGGGAGAGAAACCCTTTAAATGCACAGAGTGCGGGAAATGTTTTGCTCGGACGTCGTACCTCAAAAACCACCAGAGACTTCACACTGGGAAGAAGCCGTATAAGTGCTTAAAGTGTAGGGAATGTTTTTCTTTGAAATCAGCCCTTCTCAGACACCAGGCAGCTCACGCAGATGACGGACCTCATGAATATTCATCCCAGTAGAGATTCTTCACACCTGAGAACACCAGGTAAGACATTGTTATATTTATTTCCACATGTTATAATTTTGACTGGCTGGCCTAATTATGTCTATCGGGCGAAGATTCTCCACTGCTGAGCAGATCAACACAACCTGCCTTAAATGATCATTCTTCTTTAATTAATTGATTAATTTATTGATTAGTTAGTTTCATTTCTATACCATTCTTCATACAAATATCACAGGATGGTTTGCAATATGAAAACACAAAAGTACATAACATAGTAACGAAGTCAAACAATATGAAGTCAAAAGTAGTTTAAAAGGCCATTGTTGTTGTTGTTTAGTCGTGTCCGACTCTTTGTGACCCCCTGGACCAGAGCACGCCAGGCACTCCTGTCTTCCACTGCCTCCCGCAGCTTGGTCAGACTCATGCTGGTAGCTTTGAGAACACTGTCCAACCATCTCGTCCTCTGTCGTCCCCTTCTCCTTGTGCCCTCCATCTTTCCCAACATCAGGGTCTTTTCCAGGGAGTCTTCTCTTCTCATGAGGTGGCCAAAGTATTGGAGCCTCAGCTTCAGGATCTGTCCTCCCAGTGAGCACTCAGGGCTGATCTCCTTAAAAATGGAGAGGTTTGATCTTCTTGCAGTTCATGGGACTCTCAAGAATCTCTTCCAGCACCAGAATTCAAAAGCATCAGTTCTTCGGCGATCAGCCTTCTTTATGGTCCAGCTCTCATTTGCATACATTACTACTGGGAAAACCATAGCTTTAACTATACGGAACTTTGTTGGCAAGGTGATGTCTCTGTTTTGAAAAAGTCACAGATTGTTTAATTAGCCAAAGGCCAAAATTAACCTGATGAGCTAATTTACTTCATGAAGAAAGAGTTTTTTCTTTCTTTCTTCTTTTTTTACATGGGGAAATATTTTTGGCTGACTCTCCTCCCATGTCCTCAGTCTGAAGCAGTACAGTCTAGGATTCCAATCTTCATTCTGTGGAATGGGAAGATCAGGTTTAGCTCGAAATGTTTACCTATTATTTATTTATTTATTAAATTTCTACACCGTACTTCATCCGAAGTTGATAGGGTGATTTGCAATATAAATACATGGCCATATATAGTGTAATAAAAATCAAGAACTGTCCCCCCCCCCCCAGTTTAAAAGGCCATAGATTATTTAATTAGCCAAAGGCCTGGGAGGAAAATAATGTTTTTGCCTAAACCTATAAGATATGTAACGAAGGTGCCAGGCAAGCCTCTCTGGGGAGAGCATTCCACAAGTGGGGAGCCACTGGAAAAAAGGCCCCGTTCTCGTGTTGCCACCCTCCAGACCTCTCGATGAGGAGGCACATGAAGGAGGGTATCAGATTATGATCACAGTGTCTGGGGAGAGTCAGACCTTGAGGTACTGTGGCTCTGAGTTATTCCAGCCTTTATGAGTCAAAGCCAGCACTTTGAATCGGGCCTGGAAACTAATTGGCAGCCAATGTAGTTGGGCCAGGATTGGCATTATATATATACATAAATTAGATTATGTTTTTTATTAGTTTTCAATTACAATAATCTAATAGTAGCCTCATTATAACAATGCCAAATTATAATACAATTGCTAATACCAATCATTCAGATACCAAATTATATAATTTAGGTGCCGCCCCCCTGGTGTGCTAGAATTGATGGTTTGATGATTTACTTTATTTCTGCGTTCCAAAATCTTACTAATTTCAATTACACCCCAGTCAAAATAACAATCCCTTCTACAACAACCGCAATGTTAACGACTTCCATTCGTATTAAATGATTTATAAAGCTACAGGGGAAGCGTTCAAGCTATATCCTTGCTCTTCCTGTGTGTGGCAATTATTCTGCCTGTGTTGTTTCTTGTAAAATATTACGTCTGTCTTTTCAGAGGCAGCCTTTTCTATAATGTGTTGCAGTAATCTAATTCTCTTTCTGTTTCTTCGTCCCAGCATCTTATCCGAGAGAAATGCTCTTCTGCAAAGTCCATGGGAGCACTGAGTCTTGGGAGAAGATAGAGAAGCCACTCGAGAAAGAATATTGTCTGAGGAAACAGGCTGTGCCAAAAAGATGGTTGAGAATTAACAAATTTCTGCAAAGGGGAGGCATTATGAGTGTTTGACGCATGTCTGAAAGTACATTTAACGTGGGAGTATGTGTGTGTGTGTTTATAGACTGATGCTTTTATTGCTATCTACCGGCACTTCAGACAAGATTTTCCGGATCTGGGTAGGATGCCGTTAGTCACTAAAAGCATATCTTTATTAAAGTGACAAAAAAGAAGGAGTTCTAAATTATTATAGCAAATTGTCTGCTGTTAGGACTTGCCGATCAGAAGGTTGGCAGTTCAAATCCCCACAACGGGGTGAGCTCCCGTTGCTTGGTCCCTGCTCCTGCCAACCTAGCAGTTCGAAAGCACGTCAAAGTGCCAAGCAGATAAATAGGTACCGCTCTGGTGGGAAGGTAAACGGCGTTTCCGTGTGCTGCTCTGGTTCGCCAGAAGCAGCTTAGTCATGCTGGCCACATGACCCGGAAGCTGTACACCGGCTCCCTCGGCCAATAAAGCGAGATGAGCGCCGCAACCCCAGAGTCAGCCACGACTGGACCTAATGGTCAGGGGTCCCTTTACCTTGGGTTAAGAACTTAATTCGTTCTGGAGGTCCATTCTTAACCTGAAACTGTTCTTAACCTGAGGTACCACTTTGGCTAATGGGGCCTCCCGCTGCGCCGTTGCTGCGCAATTTCTGCTCTCCTCCTGAAGCAAAGTTCTTAACCCGAGGTACTATTTCTGGGTTAGCAGAGTCTGTAACCTGAAACGTCTGTAACCTGAAGCATCTGTAACCTGAGGTACCACTGTAATTGACCTTAAGTCAGAGTTGGGTTTGTAGTCTGGATAAGAGGAGACTGAGAAGAGATAGGATAACCATCTTCAAATATCTCAAGGGCTGTCCATGGAAGATGGAGCAAGCTTGTTTTCTCCTGCTCCAGAGGGACATGAACCAGTGGCTTCAAGTTACAAGAAAGAGATTATGACCAAACATCAGGAAGAACTTTCAGGCAGTAAGAATGGGCTCCTTTAGAAGGGGGTGGACTTGCGTTCACTGGAGGTTTTTAAGCAGAGGTTGGATAGCCATCCTGACAGCGAAGCTTTCGTGGAGAGTTCTGCGTTGCAAGGGTTTGGAATTTATGACCCCCGGGGTCCCTTCCAATTCTACAATTCTATGCTTCTATGTCATTGAATGAAAAAGGGGGGGATACCCTATCTTTAGGAAAGATAGGGAAGTTTTTAATGACTAATGTTTTAATGTATTTTTAATCTTTTCTTGGAAGCCACCCAGAGTGGCTGGGGAAACCCAGCCAGATGGGCGGGGTATAAATAAATAAATAAATAAAAATATAATAATAACGAATGAATGACTTTTATTATTTCGGTCACAGACCAGTTCCAGCCCACATACAATATCAAGGAAGTCGTTATTAGGTAGTGGGTTGGCAAAGCAGACGACACAGAGATTTCTCCAAGTAGTTCTTTATAAATAAGCTGGAACTGAACTGAACAGCAAACAGCTCAGCCGGCCTGATTTTATAGGCAGCCGGCGGTCAACATTGTAATAACAACATCCCAGGGTTTCCCGTCTAAATTAACTGATATGGACCTGAGGGAAAACTATATACATGATACCCCTGGTGGCCAGGGTCAGAACTTCAATACATAACAGTCATAAAACACAACAGGGATACATTTGAGTTTGCAATTAGGTATAACAGGGACAATACAGATATAGCAAGAGTTAAAAAATATATAAATTAAAACTTAAGCACTAACATATAACCTAAAATTATCATCTGATTTGATTGTTTTTAATTATGTAAAAAGTGTCGCTGTTTTCATTACTATTCAGTCAATTAAAAATAAAGTTTGGGTGGACAGGCCTGCCACTGATTTTAAATATATTGCCAGTTGTCAGGGAACTGCCATCGGAGCCTAGAGTGGAGGTAAGGCTCCCCAGTGATGCAGGAGAAGGGACCAGCAGAGGGAGAGAGAACACTTCATTTGGGGAAGGTAATCAGCGTGACAACGGGGAGGAAGGGGAGCCGGGAAGAACTTCGGAGAGAGGGCTCCAAGACTCTTCCACAGAGACCAGCGGGGAGAGTCCAGGACCTCCGCTAGCCACGCCTACTCTGCGCAGAAGACTTCCGCGCAGGGAGGCTAGGCGGAGACTTGGCGTCAAGGAATTTTTATGTTGGAGGAAGTTCAGGAAACGCCCGCTGTCGGATTCTGCCAGGGACTGACACAGCCATGGAGAAAGGGCTGTCCAGCCAGGGAAAGGTTTAGCCAGGCAACTTTGCCTAGAGCATCAGCACCCTTTACGCACGAGCAACCCCAATTCCCATTACACCAGTTAAGCTTTCATTCATCTATCTGTCTATCTATCTATCTATCTATCTATCTATCTATCTATCTTTTATCCATTCATTTATCTGTGGAGGCGATACAACCATGGGCAAGTTAACAGCTCTTGGAAATTCCTCCAAAGGCTGGGAACTTGTAAATTAGCAATGCTCTATCCATTATCCTCTATTTTGTATCATGGATCCAGAATTGGGAAGCTATGTCTCTTCATAGAGACATTAGCCGGGGCTAATAGAAGTCCAAAACACATTGGTTCCCTACCCCATAGTAATTTAGACACCCTAAACATATTACACATTTCTTAAAATCAAACACAAATGCTACAGTATGAATATATATATATATATATATATATATATATATATATACCTTAATTTTTTTATTTCAAGGGAAAGGGGGGTGGTTACCTGTTTTGTTGCAAGCATACACTGCGTTTCACGCAATTTGTAAAACTACTCCACACTCAACTTGTTTTCAACATTTCCAAAATTTCCATTTTTTCCGGGGAAAAACGGGGGGGGGGGGATATCCACCCACCGGGCTTCAAAATTCCAGGAAATTTTACATCTCTAGCTGTGCCCAGAAGCATTTAAAAAAACCAAGGAGCTCTTTCAAACGACCGCATATCTTGACACATTCCTAAAACGGCTCTCCCACATGCCTTGCCAAAAGCATCTCTAAATACAAGAAGCACCCAGTTTCCTTGACAGAGGCCCAGCTGAAAGTTGTCTCCCAAACCCTGGTGGGTTGGCAAATCATTTACTTGGCGAGAGAGCTGAGAATGATTTTTCCAACATGTGACCCAGGGAGGGCGTCTTTTGCTTGCTGAATTTGCCAAACCGGTTCGAACTCCACCTTCAGACCAGGAAATGTTGAGCCTCCGGTTCCTTCGCCCCCAACTGCTGTGCAGAATTCCCTCCTTACCTGTCCAGGTACTTTCTGACTCCTGACCGTTATTCCTATGATGGGAAGTCTGAACATGGACTCTTAGAATACAGTGGTACCTCAGGGTAAGAACTTAATTCGTTCTGGAGGTCCGTTCTTAACCTGAAACTGCTGTGGGGTGCTTCAGGGTTCCGTCCTCTCCCCCATGCTTTTCAACATCTACATGCAGCCGCTGGGAGAGATCATCAGGGGGTTTGGGCTGGGTGTTCATCAGTATGCGGATGATACCCAGCTCTACCTCTCTTTCAAATCAGAACCAGTAAAGGCGGTGAAGGTCCTGTGTGAGTGTCTGCGGTTGGAGGATGGATGGCGGCTAACAGATTGAGGTTGAATCATGACAAGACACAAGTACTGTTTTGGGGGGACAGGAGGCGGGCAGGTGTGGAAGATTCCCTGGTCCTGAATGGGATAACTGTGCCCCAGTCTGGGAGTCATTTTGGACTCACAGCTGTCCATGGAGGCACAGGTCAATTCTGTGCATAGGCGCCGACTCCATGGGGCCTGAGGGGGCCCGAGCCCCCTCAAAAATTCGTTTGGGGGGGCTCGGCCCCCCCAATAATTTAAGAAAATTATTAGTTATATTATGCTTTGCCGCACCGGGCGCAACATCTGGGGGGGGGCGCGAGTCCAGAGGGCCCAGCCGCGTCGTGCCCTCGGCCCGCCCCTATTGTCAGAGGCTCAGCGTGGAAGTGTTAACAAAGTTTCAGAGGGGGGAGCGAGTGGGGGGGACGCGGGGAGGGGAGGGGGTCCCCGCTTCTCCGGCCGCCTTGCAGAAGCAGCCACCGCCCGGCGGCTCTGCCTTTGCTCGCAGGCCTGCCTGGGGGCTCCCTCGGCTCCAGCGCTGAGCTGGCGGCCCCGATCCTGGGAGCAAAGAGGCGTCGCGGGAGCGGCTAGGCCTGCGCCAGGGCCCTGACCCGACAGCTTCTCCGGCTCCCCAAGCCGAGGACAGCTTTGGCTGTGAAGCTGCGCCTTCCGGGCTGGCCCCTTCTCGGCTGGGCCTCGCCTCTCCAGCTCCCGGTATGTGTGCTCCGCGGTGGTCCCCGCTCCTTCCAGACCCTTCCACCGCTCCCTGCCAAACTGGCTGTAGATACAAGAAGGGCAGCTGGGGTGGGCTATAGAGGACCCTGCCTCCCCCTGCGGGGCTCATCTCTGGCAATTGGCTCAAGGAGCCCCCTGAGTTTTGGCATTGTCTCTCCGCGCCCCCCCCACCCCGCCTCTCTCCAGGAGCTTTATGGAGCCGCCTGGATCGGGTCTGCTTTGGAGGAGGGGAGCCTTCCTTGACCAGCATGGGCCCCCCCAATATTTTTTATAAGTCGGCACCCCTGATTCTGTGTCCCGGGCAGCTGTTTACCAGCTCCATCTGGTACGTAGGCTGAGACCCTACCTGCCCGCGGACTGTCTCGCCAGAGTGGTGCATGCTCTGGTTATCTCCTGCTTGGACTACTGCAATGCGCTCTACGTGGGGCTACCTTTGAAGGTGACCCGGAAACTACAACTAATCCAGAACGCAGCAGCTAGACTGGTGACTGGGAGCAGCCGCCGAGACCACATAACACCGGTCTTGAAAGATCTACATTGGCTCCCAGTATGTTTCCAAGCACAATTCAAAGTGTTGGTGCTGACCTTTAAAGCCCTAAATGGCCTCGGTCCAGTATATCTGAAGGAGCGTCTCCACACCCATCGTTCTGCCCAGACACTGAGGTCCATCGCTGAGGGCCTTCTGGTGGTTCCCTCGCTGCGAGAAGCCAAGTTACAGGGAACCAGGCAGAGGGCCTTCTCGGTAGTGGCGCCCGCCCTGTGGAACGCCCTCCCAGCAGATGTCAAGGAAATAAACAACTACCAGACTTTTAGAAGACATCTGAAGGCAGCCCTGTTTTTTAATTTTTGATGTATTATAGTATTTTAATATTTTTTTGGAAGCTGCCCAGGGTGGTGGGGAAGCCCAGCCAGATGGGCGGTGTATAAATAAATAAATAAATAAATAAATAATAATAATAATTATTATTATTATTATTATTACTTAACCCGAGGTACCACTGTATTAAGACAATGCTGGAAAGGCTGAACCTTTCCGTAAAAAAGGGATTTTATTATTCCGAATAGGAAACCTTCCTCTGCTTGTCAATATTAGGAGGATGCCAGCAAGGCTGAGTCTTTCTGTAAAAAAAAAGGATTTAAATCAAGTCTTACTGATAAATCTCCTGCGCTGGGTCATTGCAATTCTCCTTGTGCTTTGCAGGTTCCTCAGGAAATGTCCCGGGAGCGAAGCAGCAAGTCGGCCCCACCGGGCCTGATCCACCGGCTGGACCACCTGGTGATGACAGTCCGGAGCATTGAGGACACAGCCGCCTTCTACTCCCGTGTCCTCGGCATGGAAGTCGTCTCCTTCAAGGTGCTGGGAACGGCGACCCCTTTATCACCTCCAAGACGGTGTTATTTATTTTACAGTATGGTCCATTGAGGATTGCTTTCGTTTTAGGAATCAATGGTCTCGTTAGAGAGTAAAACTCAAGCTCAAATTGCTGTTTTTATAAAGTCTGGGATGGATTAATCTGTTTTGCTTTTTTTAATTAAAAAAAAATCAACATTTTTATTGGTTTTCACAATATTATAATCAAACAAACACACAAGACAAACAAACATAAACCATAGCCTTATTAAAAATTACACTTATCAACTTTGTTAAGTGACTTCCTCGCTTCCCCTTGGTTGAATTTCATTGCATGTCCTTTTAACAGTTTTCCAAATCCCAATTCTTATGAAATTCAACTTAAACATTAGCATCCTTAAATCTTCACCTTGTGGAATTAAACATATTAATTCATCACTTAACATAAATAAAATCCTAAGCCAATTAAGTATCTGCAAGCTATTTTCAATTAATTTAACTTAACAAATTTAAGTAGATAATCTTTAAATTTATTCCACTCTTCCTGATACTCCTCCTCTTTCTGGTCATGGACGTTTTGCTTCCCCCCCCCCAATGGGAAAGCGTGCCTCAGTTTTGGAACAGAATTCCGGAACGGCTATATCTCTACCATGATCAAATGCTGTATTTGCCAAGCCCAGTCCCTCTTGTCTCCCACCTCGTCATTCCAGGCTACGTTTTGCCTTCACAGGGAAACCGCCAAGCTCTGCATTTTGGCCAACATAAGTTCAACCTCCATGAGGTGGGGAAGGAATTCGAACCCAAAGCCCACCAGCCGACTCCTGGCTCTTTGGACCTCTGCCTCGTCACAGAGATGCCTCTGGAACAGCTGGTGGAACACCTGAAGGTCAGGCATGTGGGAATGTTCTGGGGTGCAGGAGAGGATATATTGACTAATTATATCCTTATCCAACTTGTGCTAACAAGTTCCCAAAATAGCAGAGTTTATATACATTCCCCTTTAAGTACGCAACGGTAACGTGTGCACAGGTTCGCTAGAACCTCTATAATAATTACTCTGGTAATTTCCCCTTTATTCCCTCTTAAAATACAAGACACGACACAGTCTTTATAAAAGTATAAAAGAGTTTACTCACGTTCTGTTCACAACATGATCCCAGAAGGCAGACAGGCTTAAAAAGTTACATATACTTAGAATCTATCTTGTTGCAAGATAGACCTTATCTCCTCTCTTGGCTGAGAGCCAAGAGGGCATCTTTACATGCTTCCTCATCGAAGGAAAATGGCAGAGAGAGAGAGAGATGGCTGCCTGCCCTGTGCTTTTGTCATTACCTGCACAGGTGAGGCCACACCCACCTCTGGTCACATGTGGAGGAAGTCCGTCCCCAGGAAGTTTACCTGCTTGCTGGACAGACATCCCTCCCCATGTTCTAACATGTACACTCTAGGAATGTTGTCATTGACTGCTCCTGTGTTTACATCCCACAAGGCAGGGGCTGCAACCAGGGTGGATAAAAATAAATGGATTTTTTTTAAAAAAAAATATTCCTATTTTTAAATTTTAAATCGGCTTTTTTATTTAAATCGGTTTTTTAAATTTAAGTCAGATTTTTAAAATTTAAATCAGATTTTTTATTTAAATCGGGTTTTTTAAATTTAAATCGGATTTTTAAAAATTTAAATTGTTGTTTTTTTTAATAAAATGCTTTTGGAGGAAAAATCTTCCCAAAGATAGTTTTCTATTTCAGTTACATTATAGTCCAAAGGCTATTCATCAGGAAATAAGGATTTGTTTAAAGTTTTTCATGTGTGCTAAAACTCATCCTAAGGTGTGGTTTTTTTGGGGGGGAAATGGTTTAACCACATCAGTTAACAAACATGGATACATATGCTATCATGTTATTGTTTTAGTTACATAAATTGTTTCGTTGTTACGGAAATGATTGTTTTTCTCCTTCCGATAAAGTAGAGCAGAAAAATAATATTTTTTAAATTGTTATTTTATTTTTAACAATCAGTGGCCAGATGGGCAGAGTAGAAATAAATTATTATTATTATTATTATTATTATTATTATTATTATTATTATTATTAGTTGACTCATACTTTTAGGTTCTGGTGTTTCTTGTGTGTTTTTTGTTTACTGTTTTTTAGGTGTTATTTTATTTTTAACAATGAACGGAATAGTTGTAACACTCAATTTAAAAGGGGGGGGGGATTGGCATTGCAGGAGCAGTGTGACGTTGCAAATGGCCCTCAATGTTTTTGATGGAATTTTAGATTTTTTCATTCATTTCATTTCATTCATTTTCGTTTCCTTCATTTCCTCCCCTGTCGCTTTTTTTAGGTATGTGGGGTCAGCATTGAAGAAGGCCCAGTGGTCAGAACTGGGGCGCTTGGCCCAATAAAATCTGTTTATTTCCGAGACCCGGACCTTAATCTGCTGGAAGTTTGCAACTACGGTGGGAGTGACTTGTGAAATTTCCAATTTCCAGAGAGAAATAATGGAAAGTGACACTAAATGACTTTGTTGTTGTTTAGTCGTTTAGTCGTGTCCAACTCTTCATGGCCCCGTGGACCAGAGCATGCCAGGCACTCCTGTCTTCCACTGCCTCCCACAGTTTGGTCAAACTCATGCTGGTAGCTTAGAGAACACTGTCCAACCATCTCGTCCTCTGTCGTCCCCTTCTCCTTGTGCCCTCCATCTTTCCCAACATCAGGGTCTTTTCCAGGGAGTCTTCTCTTCTCATGAGGTGGCCAAAGTATTGGAGCCTCAGCTTCAGGATCTGGCCTTCCAGTGAGCACTCAGGGCTGATTTCCTTAAGAATGGATAGGTTTGATCTTCTTGCAGTCCATGAGACTCTCAAGAGTCTCCTCCAGCACCATAATTCAAAAGCATCAATTCTTTGGCGATCAGCCTTCTTTATGGTCCAGCTCTCACTTCCATACATCACTACTGGGAAAACCATAGCTTTAACTATATGGACCTTTGTTGGCAAGGTGATGTCTCTGCTTTTTAAGATGCTTTCTAAGGTTTGTCATTGCTTTTCTCCCAAGAAGCAGGCGTCTTTTAATTTCGTGACTGCTGTCACCATCTGCAGTGATCATGGAGCCCAAGAAAGTAAAATCTCTCACTGCCTCCATTTCTTCCCCTTCTATTTGCCAGGAGGTGATGGGACCAGTGGCCATGATCTTAGGTTTTTTTATGTTGAGCTTCAGACCATATTTTGCGCTCTCCTCTTTCTCCCTCATTAAAAGGTTCTTTAATTCCTCCTCACTTTCTGCCATCAAGGTTGTGTCATCTGCATGCCTTGCCTTGGCGAAGGGGCTTGAATAACTCAGAGAAGCTATGAACTATGCCAAGCAGGGCACCCAAGATGGACAGGTCATAGTGGAGAGTTTTGACCAAACATGATCCACCTGGAGGAGGAACCAGCAAGCCACTCCAGTATCCCTGCCAAGAAAACTCCATGGATAAATGATCGTTTAGGGAAGCTTTTAGTATTTGATGAATTATTGTATTTTAATCTTTTGTTGGAATCCGCCCAGATGGGTGGGGTATAAATAAATTATTACTATTACTATTACTATTATTATTGAAAATGTATAACTTGTTCTTAGAATGGGAAACAATGGATGAAGAGGTCCAGGGTGTTATGATAGAGTGGGCAAAAGATGTGGGACATAATATTCAAATGACAGATTGCGAAAGATTATGGGGAAATGATCTAAAATTGACAGCCTGGACCTGACTTAAAGAGAATTGGAAAAAAATGGAGGGAAATTGGGGGATTTTGGAAATCCCACATTTGGGAGTTGAGCAATGATATATTTTATTTTCTTTGATCGCAAAAATTAATTAAAAAATAGTTTAAAGGAAGAATTAAAAGCACAATAGAAATTCAAATTCATGGCCTGGATCTGACTTAAAGAGAACTATATGAAAACAATGGCTATGTGGTATTGAAAACTGGTTAAATTGGCAAAAAATATGTATAAAACAAGGGAAAATCAGTGTTGGAAATGTAAAGAGGTAGAAGGGACTTTCATCATGTGGTGGCAATGCAAAATTATGGGGGGGGGGATGGCATATAACGGATTGGAAAAAATGTTTTTTCATAAGCTTGCATTGCCACCACATCTGATAAAAGTATCTTCTACAAATTCTTATATTCTTTCGGGAGATCCATTCCAAAACCAAGGCGAGCTTTCCCATAGAAAGTAATGCAAAAGGGATTAATCTGTACTAGACTTTTAAAAACGACCCCTAAAACAGTAATTTAACATGAATTTTACTACCTAACGAGACCATGGATCCATAAAATGAAAGCAATAATCAGTATTGTAGATGATAAAAATTAAAATTATTATTTTTTCTTACCTGTACTGATGATAGTCATTGTTTGGATGGGGGGCTTTTATCCATTTCCGCAGTCACACAATCGATCAATCAATCAGTAGCTGAACTGGGTTCCACACAGTCACAAAAACAAATTAACCGAAAAAGCATCAAAAACAAAAACACAAAATAAATAGCAAAGACAAAAGGGCCAAACTTAATCCGCTCTGGAAGTCTGTTTTACTTTCAAAATGTTCAAAAACCAAGGCGCAGCTTCTGATTGGTGCAGGCGTCCTGGAAACAATAGCCGACAGCTGCATCGGATGTTCGGCTTCTGAAAAATGTTTGAAAACTGGAACACTTACTTCCGGGTTTTCTGCGTTTGGGAACCAAGGCGTTTGAGAACCAAGGTACCACTGTAGATTGAGATCTGATGGTTGGACATGCCTGCTATATGGTAATTTATGGACAAGATATGTATCTTATCAAAGTAATTGTCGAACTGAAATACAATTAAGAAGAAGTATATTAATAGTGAAATGCAATTAAGAAGAAGTATATTAATAGTGGAAAATTATGAAGCTCTCACTTAAAATGAGGATGCGGGTGGCGCTGTGCTGTAAACCACTGAGCCTTGGGCTTGCTGAGCGGAAGGTCGCGATTCAAATCCCTGTGATGGGGTGAGCTCCCGTTGCTTGGTCCCTGCTCCTGCCAACCTAGTAGTACGAAAGCACATCAGAGTGCAAGTAGATAAATAGGTACCACTCCAGCGGGAAGGTAAACGGCATTTCCGTGCGCTGCTCTGGTTTGCCAGAAGCACCTTAGTCATGCTGGCCACATGACCCGGAAAAACTGTCTGCGGACAAACGTTGGCTCCCTCGGCCAGTAAAGTGAGATGAGCGCCACAACCCCCAGAGTCGTTCACGACTGGACTTAACTGTCAGGGGTCCATTACTTTAAAAAAAACAAAAACTTAAAATGATTTTCTATTCATAACAAACGTAATAATGCAAACACATCAGCATTGGGCAATGACAAAGTTCCTTTAGAAACACAATTTCATAATCTGGTCTCTGGAAACTTATACAGTGGTACCTCGGGTTACATACACTTCAAGTTACAGACGCTCCAGGTTACAGACTCCACTAACCCAGAAATAGTACCTCGGGTTAAGAACTTTGCTTCAGGATGAGAACAGAAATCGAGCGGTGGCAGCGGGAGGCCCCATTAGCTAAAGTGGTGCTTCAGGTTAAGACAGTTTCAGGTTAAGAACGGACCTCCGGAACGAATTAAGTACTTAACCCGAGGTACCACTGTAACATGAAATCATAATAGGTGTAAATATACGATGCAAACTACTAATAATTATAAATAGCAGAATGTAGGCACCCTATATATAGAAATGAGCAAACCAGTGATGTTTTAGGGAGCAGGCTAGCAGGCGGCGCCCATTCCTTACATGATAGGAGCCTACGCAACACAAAACACTGTTGCTGTACGTAGGTTTTATTTTATTTGTTTTTTACCTTACATTTTGGAAATGTACATCCAGTTGTTTTTTTCCCTTTGAATTTTTTTGGGGCCCTAAGCTATAGCTCGTTTGCAGCAAGGCCAGCAACAAAATACTGCAGCGCAGAGCGCTCTGGTCCCCGCCTGCAAACACCCTCAAGTCCCTGCGAGAATGTTGCCCTGGAGGAAGAAAAAGACTACATTTCCCCGCAGCCATTGGGAATGCGGCCTGCCCATTGGCTTGAGAGGGTGGCGAAGGTGCCGAGTGATTGGCTGAGATGGGGAAAGGGGGCGGGAGACGTCAGAGCGCAACATTCCACCCAGGGCAGCAGAGCCAGGTGGGCATTCTCTGAGTTCCCAAGAGCAAGAAACTGCAGGAAAGAAAAACATCTTTATCTCCCGGGTCCTAAATGGAGGTAAGGCTGGAAAATGCATCACTTGGAAGGAGTGTGCGAGGAGCTGTTTTATATTTGCATAGCATGGGGAATTGGGGCTGACTCCTTCCTTTGTTTGGTGGGTCCCCAGTATTGATTTTATTGTTTTTATTTTGCTTTTCGATGCAGAAGGGAATAGGAAGCGGCTGCACTTTGCATCCCTTTATGTACTTGGGAAGAGAGGGAAATGATAAGAAAAGACCAAATGTGACCTCTAAAAATGGCGGAGGAGGGGGGAGGAGGTGTGGATAGAGAAAAGAAAAAAAGTGATAAACGTTCAGACCGCTGTAATTCCTGGAGGAGCTTTCTTCTTCTTCTTCTTCTTCTTCTTCTTCTTCTTCTTCTTCTTTCTTCTTCTTCTTCTTCTTCTTGGAAAAAAGCCAGCCCTTAAAGGAAGGGGACAGTTCCAAGTAGTGGGGGGTTAATTTTGCAATTTGTTTGTATTATTGTTGTATTATTTTATTGTTGTTAGCTGCCCTGAGCCCGGCTTCGGCTGGGGAGGGCGAGATATAAATAAAAATTTATTATTATTATTTATTATTGTTTAGATATCACAAACGGGGCTTTTTTTAAAAAAAAGCAACAACAACGAGTTATTGGATTTTATTAGAAAATGGCAAATCTGGATTAAATGGGAGGTGGGTGGGAGAGAAATATCAGATAGTGCTTTTAATATGAGCAGTGCCACACAGATACTGTGGGGAATTTGCATGTGGAAGAGGTAGAGCATCGATCTCACAACACACACCTGGCCGGAAAGCCCCCCTGATGTTTGAACCTGGACAGAAGCTCATATTTTCAAGTGCCGATGCCCTAAATCAACTCTCTTAACGCAGCTGGTGTCTGTTTTTGCTCATAATTTCAATGCTTTAAAGCTGGGCAAGGGGGACATTTTTTCTCTAGGGGGTGAGATAAAGATCTTCCTCAGGGGCAACCTTTGACAGATGGGCGGGGCAACCCACCTGTCAATCACATGACATGCCCTGCTCACCTGTCAAAAGCCGCCTGCGGGCCTTGCAGAAGTGACCCAAGTGTTGTAGTCTATTCTACCACTGGCATTGTGCTGTGTGGAAAGACTGCTCCACCTACAGCCTGAAGTGGCACATTCCAGAAGCACCTTTTTTTTATCAAGGGCTGGGAGAGGAGGAGAGTCCCTGGATGTGGGAAGATGGGGAGAGTCTGGGCTGAGTCAGTGGGGCAAGGTGCCTTCTGGGGCAGCTGCTTCCTGTTCCAGGTCTGCGCCCTGTTGTTGTTGTTGTTGTTTAGTTGTTTAGTCGTGTCCAACTCTTCGTGACCCCATGGACCAGAGCACGCCAGGCACTCCTGTCT